CCAACAGCCTCAAGGATCTGCTGCAGAGCAAGATCGATGACCTGGAGAGGCAGGTGCTGTCTCGGGTGAACACTCTGGAGGAGGGCAAGGGGGGCTCCAAAAACGACACCGAGGAAAGGGTCAAGATCGAGAATGCCCTGACTTCCCTGCACCAGCGGATCAGCGAGCTCGAGAAAGGTAACAGTCATGGAGGGTCGGTGGCAGGCTGCCTGTCTCGGCTCCCTGGCCCAGAGGGACCCTGCCTCTGGTTTTGGCTTCCTGCATAGCTCAACTCCATCCTGTAAAAGCCCTGAGCTCCTCCACCCCTCCAGCCCCATCCCTGCCCCAGGTTCTCCAGTTGGTGTTCCTGGCAGGGCTGGGGTGCCCTGGGCTCAGGACATAAACGGAAGCAGAGAAGGGAAGCAGAGTGAGGAAGGGAATGCCTGGTGTCCCCCCCAGTCCCCTCCCTGACACACTCACAAACTCGAAGGGTTTTTCAAGTCTGATTTGTTTAATCTTCAGCAACTTTGCACTGTAGCTGTGGCCGGCCCAAGTCCTCCCTGGCTAAGAAAGCCTGGCTTTAGCCAGCCAGTCCCCATTCCCGGCAGAGAGCAGGGTACAGGCTGGGTCTGAGTCCTCCCTGTCCTCAGCAGATCTGGGCCCTGAGCAGGTTTCCTCCCAGCCCCTTGGTGCCCCTGGCGTCCTCTGAGGATTTCCGGGTCCCCTTCCCTGCCCTGAGCACACCCCCACGGTTTTCTCTTCTGAGTGACCCAAGCCCGGGCATCTTGCGAGCCCCGTGGTTCCCGAGTCGCCATCACCAGCTGGCCCCAATCTCGCCCCGAGCGCACGGATGAGCTCAGGAGGCTCAGCCTTGAAGTTGCAGGAATCAAACAAGGTTGTAAAAGGGTGGGGGGGGGGGACACTGCCGGGCTCCGAGCAGGGCCACGTGACCCTTCTCGACCGCAAAGTGTGCTGGATGGATTTAAACAGTGCCATCTTAAGGCACGTTATGTAACTGAAAAACAGATCGAGGAAGGGAGGAGGGAAGGAGGGAAAGAGGAGAGACCAGGGAAATGAGAAACACCCCCTAAAGAGGCCAGGGGTTGGATCTGCTCCAAGGGCAGGGGGCTGCCAGCCTGAGCTGTAGGGGAAGCACTGAGGGGGCCAGCTCTGCTCTGTTCCCTGACACCTGGCTTAGAGGAAGGGGGAGGGGTTGCTGGCTCAGCAGGACGCCTTCTAGAAATAATTCTTGGCCTGGGGGTGCCGGTTGAGTGCTGGGCTCCCTGGCAGCGCCGCTGTCCATGCTGGAGCTGGTGGGTGTGTATCCCTGGCTCTGGGCCTGGCACCCGTGCCCACTGCTGGGCAGGACTGTTTTGCCTGAAGTCAGTCGCACACGCCCAAGGCCACAGCCACAGAGCGTGCGGGCGGGGAGAGGGCGGACAGGCATCCCCTGGAGACCTCATGGCACACGGCTGCCTGGCGGCCATGTAGAAAGGGAGGCTGTGGGGCTGGGAGCGTGATGTTTCAGGAAGCACACAGGAAGTTCGCCACGAGAGTTCATGGCATCAACCTCAAAGCAGTCACCTTGGGGGACCCTGGCTCCAGGGCCACCTCCCGGCTCCCTGCTGTCCTGCCCTCTGCAGGGGGCTAGACAGAGTTGCTGGAAGGGCCTCAGAGGGGACAGCTCTCCCTCCGGTAGGGTGCATGGGCTTCTGGAAACAACCCAAGTCCTCATGGCACGTCAGCTGGGCCAGATGAGTGAGCAGGGGCTGCTGAATGCCCTGGCCTCGAGGCACCCGGGCCTGGTTGTCTTGGGTGAGGATGCAGGAGCACCGGCAGCATCCTGGAATCAGGTCAGACTCCCTCCCGGAGGGGCTGCTCCGAGGGGAGCTAGCCTCTTTCCTGGCAGGGAGAAGACCTCCTTCCTCTGCGGCCACACCTTTGAGGGTTGCTTTACAGCGTGTGCACCCACCCACTCCCTGCCCACGCCCGCTGCCCAGACTGAGTGCAGATGCTCACAGCCCAGCCCAGACTGAGTGCAGATGCTCACAGCCTCTACGCGCAGGCGGCTCCCCACACCCCCCATCCCAGCCTCCCCGATGGGGGCTGCCATGTGGGAGCCAGCCCAGGGTGCAGAGACCTTGGGTCAGCTCTCTGGTCTCGGCCCTATGCCCTGGGGCAAGGTGCTTGACCTCTCCAAGCCTCCCTCTTGGCATGTACAGAATGCAGAGGGTCTGCTCTGTCTGCGTCACGGAGCCTGGCAGGGGCCAAGCCTACTTCAGGGACTGGCGCTTTGTCCAGGCGCAGGTGTCAGGACTGTGTCCTGTCCTTCTCAGGTCAGAAGGACAGCCGCCCCGGAGACAAGTTCCAGCTCACATTCCCACTGCGGACCAACTACATGTACGCCAAGGTGAAGAAGAGCCTGCCTGAGATGTACGCCTTCACGGTGTGCATGTGGCTCAAGTCCAGCGCGGCACCAGGGGTGGGCACGCCCTTCTCCTACGCGGTGCCCGGCCAGGCCAACGAGCTGGTCCTCATCGAGTGGGGCAACAACCCCATGGAGATCCTCATCAACGACAAGGTAGAGCCCCACCCCCGCCCCGGGCTGCCGGGACGGGTGTGGGCGGCCTGAGCTAAGCGGCCTCAGATGCTCCTGTGGCCCCGGGGGGAAGAGAGGCCTGGGAGAGATGGGGAGGGGCACCCTCGCCTCCTTCCACGAGCAGGATAAAGCTGGAGCCCTTCCAGACAGAGGCCTCCTGAGTTGGGGGCGACGGAGGATGACCCAGGGGGCTAGTCCATCCATCAGATCAAACCTGACTGCTCTCCCCAGCCGGCCTCGGAGCTGGCTTTGCTCCTCCGTATCGGGGGACCACAGGTGCCCTGGGTGTGCAAAAGGTTCCCTGAGAGGTTCTTCCTGAGTCCAGGTCTATCTGCTCAGCCCCGTACCCCCGGGAGGGGCCGGGTCTGCCCGACCCCGTGACTGGGGTGCCCTTTCCCTCCAGGGAAGCCGTCTCCATCTTGGCCCTCCGCGGGCTGTGGAATTAGCTGCCAGCTCACAAGCGCCCTCATCTCTATGCCAGCTTTGGTAGTAAATGTCTAAAACCTGAGCTGGGAATCGGATTCCAAGCCCTTGTTCTTGACGTCTTGCCCAGAAAGAGCTCTGCCTTTCGGGGCCCCATCTCCCCAAGTTAAAATGGTGTGAGGATTCTTTTGTCGGCTGCGGCAGCCTCCCTGCCCGAAACGTTAGAGGGTGAGTGAGATTCCAGGTCAGAGGCTGGTCTGAGAATTAAGAGGCATGGTGCCAGCTCCCCTGGCATCTCTCAGAGTCTCTGCAAAAAGGCTGGGCGGCTTATAGACCCAGAGGATCCGGTAATTACAGATGGACCGTTGGAAGAGGGAGCAGAGGCCCAGAAAACGGCCGTGAACTCAGCCCCCAGGGGTGGCCCTCTCCATCAGAGGCCGCTGTCCTGGGCTCACCAAGAGGGAGGAGGGCGAGTAGGAGCGAGGGGACTGTGTATTTAGATCGATCCTGCGAGCCCCCGGCAACGCATCCCGTTGCCTTTGTGACGCTGGGACCCGTCCACAGATGGGGCCGCCAGATGATGAAGTCTGGGGGGGCAGGTGCTGCGAGAAGTCAGCAGCGGTGCTTGATGTGACTGTAAACGCATGTGAGTAACGGCCGGACTGGTAACCAGGGACGATTATCAGTTCTGATCATGCCCCTGGGTGCCGCTCTCCTCCCCAGGTGGCCAAGCTGCCCTTTGTAATCAACGATGGCAAGTGGCACCACATCTGCATCACCTGGACCACCCGGGACGGGGTCTGGGAAGCCTACCAGGACGGCACCCAGGGAGGCAACGGCGAGAACCTGGCGCCCTATCACCCCATCAAGCCCCAAGGCGTGCTAGTGCTGGGCCAGGAGCAGGTGCTGGCCATGGGGGCCGGGAAGGGGGGGCCGGCTGCAGGGGGAGGAGCCCCAGAAGCAGAGACCAGCCGGAGAAAGGGGAGTGGGGCTGTTGGGAGAGAGAGCGAAGAGAGGCAGCGGGGAGCAGGCGGTAGGGAGGAGGAGAGAGAAGTGGTCTCCCCTGAGCAGGAGCCGGGCAAGCAAGGGACGCAGCAGTCTGGGCAAAGCCCTGCCCCGGGCGGGCTCTCTCAGGAAAGGCCACAGGAGCGGGCTCTGGCCTCTCTCCACCGCTTTCCCGACAGCAGCGGCCATGCTCTCTTCGGCACCGGAAGGCCAACCGTACATTTAGGGATGCATAATCTATTTCCTGGAAGTGACTCGTCTCCACTGGGCACCCAGGAGGGAAGGGCAGGCAGGAGAGCCCAGGCCTTCTGTTCTCACTGGGCGGCCTTTGCTGGCAGAGAGTGACGTCTGAGTTCCTCGACGAGAGGCGGGGGGGATGGGGAGCCCCCAGGTCCTGCTCCCATGGTTGTCCACTGCCCCGGCTGACCCCTCCCTCCCTGGGCCCCTCACGGGCGCCCCCAGGAGCTCTGCCTCCAGGGAGAGGGGAGCAGCCTCTCTGCTTTTCCTGAGCTCCCCGTGGCCGGGGGGGACCAAAGCATAGCTGAAGACCCAGAGACAGGGAGACAGAGGTATCCGGGGTGGACGTGAGAGCCTGTCCCCCAGGGGTGCCCTCCTGCTAGGCCCCCACCACTGTGACCCCCACCCTCATCCTCTGCTTTTCTCTGAAGGACACTCTGGGTGGTGGGTTTGATGCCACCCAAGCGTTCGTGGGCGAGCTGGCCCATTTCAACATCTGGGACCGCAAGCTGACCCCGGGGGAGGTGTACAACCTGGCCACCTGCAGCACCAAGGCCCTTTCCGGCAACGTCATCGCCTGGGCTGAGTCCCACATCGAGATCTACGGCGGAGCCACCAAGTGGACATTCGAAGCCTGTCGCCAGATCAACTGAGGCCCTGGGCCGGACTGAGCCTCCGTCCCGGGCCGGCCCCCCGCCTCCTCCTGCTTGTGCGGTGATGATCCGTCGTCTCCTCTTCTCTCCCTCCCCCCCAGGAATGACTCCAGGCCCTGGCCCTCGCGCACGCGCACACAGCCTGGGCTCGTCCTCGCGCAGGGAAGCAGGCCTGGCTCCCACCTGTCCCCGAGGCCACCCCCCCCCCTCCGGGAGCGCGCACTGTTTCTCAGGCACGCCCTGTTCACCGGGAAAGCCAGCGGCTGCCACGTGAACAATGCACACGTAGGTGAGAGGACGTGTGTGTGTGTGTGTGTGTGTGTGTGTCTATGAGCGTGTGTCTCTCGGGGAGGCCTTCTCTTTTAAAATGGTATCTTGTTTCTTCTTTGTGGCTTTGGGAAATCTCACAACTGGTCTGCTATCTGTATTTGCCAACTTTGGGGGCTGCCCGCGTGCCTTGGGGCTGGTGCAACTTCTTCTGCAATGCATCCGTCTTTGTTTGCAAATCTCTTCCAGAGCAACAACTCTCTCTGTTGATAAAATAAATGTCTTTTAGCGGTTTGTTAAAGGCCAGGGCCTCTCCATGGAGAACTTGTATTTTGTTGTAGAGGTGACCTCTCTCCAAAGGGTTGAAGGCACGTGGCACCATGCACTTGGAGAGGGCAGAGGAGGTCAGGCCGGCCCCAGGATCCGGGTAGTCCCCCAGCCCCAGCGCCTGGCCTGTGTCCTACGGCTGGTGTCCGAGGGCGGCGTGGGACTGGGGAGGCTGGCCTGCGTGCCCAGCTCAGCTGGCTCAGGCCCCCCATCCCACCTGTGGCCCTCAGCCTTCTCGCCTCCCTGCACTCGGCAAGGTCGGGCTCTGTCTTTCCCTTCAGCTGCCAGCTGCCGCCCCCCCAGAGAGAGGAGCGTCCCACCCACGGCCCAGGAAGCCAGAGCCCCTCCATCGCCTCTGGCAGTGGGAGGCCAGAGGCTTCAGAGGGTCGGCCCAGGGGTGGACCTTTTAGACTGGGAAACCCGCACTCTGATTAAGACCCTGCCCCACACGGCCAGTGGATGGGCAGGTCCGTGGTAACTCTGACAGCCATATTCTTGCCACACGCCCGGGCCCACGTGAGCTGGCTTGGCGAGTCCTCCAAGGGGGCAGGGGACCTCTTGTGGGGAGCCAGGCACGGCCAGGCTGGGGCCTGAAACCCACTCCCCCATCTTACAGGGCTCAAGCCCTGAAGCAGCCCCCAACCTGTCACCAGCTGGTGACACAGACCCAACCAGTGTCCAGAGGCTTGGACTTTTTTCCCATGAAAAACAAACACGTACGTCTCCTCCTAGTCCTTCCAAGGTGGGGAGAAAAACACGTGTGTGCGCGCATGTGCGTGTGTGTGTGTGTGTGTGTCTGTGTGTGTGTGTGTTGAATGAGAGGGAAGAGCATTCAGACGGATCACGCCCAGGGAGGGCGATCTCCCTGCTTTGTCGCACCATCTGGGGGTCGCACGCCCCAAGGGCCACCTGGACTCTCGCCAGGAGTCCAATTAGCAAAAGGCTGGCGAGTCTTTCAAGAAATTCTCCTGCACTGCCTGGCTCATCTGCAGCTGCAGACTTTTCTTCAGGAGGAGCAGGTGTCCCTGTCTCCTGTTCCTTCCAGGGGCACCTGTCTCCTGAAGCGCAGGTCCGTGTTGTGTCGGAAACCCAGTGCATCTGTGTGCATCTGTGCTGGAGTCTCTGCGTCGGTGTCCGCGTGGGTGTCTGCACGGTACCCTGTCGCCGTTCTGCAATGCCTCCCTCTTGTGCGGAGCGCCCAGTGCAGGCGCCCAGCTGCGCGCTGTGGCTCAACAGTGGCTTTTTCTGAGACCGTTGTGCTTCATCGGAGCCCGTCGGGCTGTGGCGTCTGTGGATCTGCAGGGATCTTCTCTGTTTGCATGTTCCTCGGGGTGGCGTGTCCCGTGCTTCCTTAGTCCGATGTGTGTTCCCCTGCCTGCATGAGCTGCTCTGGTTCTGTGTTGTGTGCTGAGTGCCACCCATCGTTCTGTGACCATCCATGTAGCTACCAGGAAAGGCTGAGTAAGCAAGCCAAGGGTGTCGGAGGAGATCAGGGGAGAGGTCGAGTCCCTCCCCTTCTCCCCGCTGCCCAAACACACCAAGTATTTTTAACATGTAGGTTGAGAGCAAGCTGAACAATCCCCGTAGTTGGGAGAGAGCGAGAGCTTGGAACGCCCCCCCCCACCGGATCGGCCCCACCCCTCACTTCAGCCATCTCGGAGCTGTAGGCAAGGCCCAGAGCGTGCTAGGTGCTCTCCGTCGGCACCTCCCACCAGCCCCTGCAGATCTCACGGACCCCAGACCACCTTCTGCCCCAGTGGGCGCGGTGGGAGCTGTCCGTTCAGGACCACAAGCCATCCTCTGCCCTAACCAGAGATGGGCAGAGCCCACCCCAGATGCGTACACCTGCGTCCCTTTGGCCTCCCCAACCCCTCCACTCTGTGCCCTTCCCCTGAGGCCCCCGTGGTGCCAGGGACAGAAGCGGATGTTTGACTCCCTCCCGCCCGACTGGAGCCTGTGCCAAGCCCCCGACTCCCTCACTGTGTTAACACTTGGCACTTTGCCCACCCCGAGAAAGGTAGACAGCCACAAGTCTAATCCACATAGTTCCCATCTACTCTTTAATCTGATGGATGTTCCCTCTTGCACTGAATAACACATGCCTATCTCAGGTAAGCCGTTTTATAAAATACGAAGATAAAAAAGCACTGTCGAGACAGTGTTTGCTTCTGCCGAGCTGGTGTCCCGCAGCTCCCTGGGTGTCCGAGGTGGGAGAGTGGCCGCCAGGCTCTCCGGGCCCCTGGGGGGTTAGATCCCACTTGAATCGTAAGCCTTCTTGCTTTTGATAACACAGTATTGTTTCTCTTATTCTAGAAGAAAAAGTTTATTACCAAACAAGAGTATTTTTATGAAAGCAAAGGACAAACCTATAAATTAACTCAACCTATATCTCCCTTGAAAATACTTTTCAGGCTCCGCCAAAATGTAGAACTGAAAGCATGTATTTTGGAAGAAAGAAATACATTTTGTATGCTTTCTGTTCCTTTTGTAGATTCACAGTTTATTTTCTAAGACTGCAAAGATCACTCTGTCACCAGCCCTGGGACCTGAGACCAAGGGGGTGTCTTGTGGGCAGTGGAGGGGAGGGGGAGGCTGGCATGAGGGTCAGTCATTCCAGTGAACTCCAGAGGGGGGCCGCCTGTTCTCAAAGGCGTGTTGGGCACCAGGCTGTACACTGGCCACTGACAGTGGCCCCTCTGTCTCGGAGCCGACTTGTTAGTGGGATGAGCTAAGGACCTGATTATCAGTTCCAACCCTGACAGAAGAAACTAGGGTAACGGATTGTAAACATTAAGATGACAGTATCCTTTGTAATCTTATGGCAACCAAAGCGTGGCTTAACGCAGTCATGGTCTCATCTCTGAAAACACAGCGTGCAAATTTATTCAATTAACGATGGGAAACCTATCACCTCCGTGTACAGTGGACTCAAGTGCCATTTGTTGAAGGGGAACAAGCCATTGAGGAGAAAAAAAGCCCAACACTTAGAGTCCCAATTTTGTCTTATTTGCCAAAATGACCCGACGACGACAGCCCAAACCCCTGTGGTTGACATTGTCACACTGTATATACTGTACAATAGGAAGGGAACCCATGTATCTCACTGTCCATTATTTGCTAACCAAAGCTGTACCTTTTTCCCATGATCTGCAGCCTTTGGGTGTCTAGTGGGTCAGAACCATGGGACCTGCCACCTCCCATCAGCAATTCTGGAAATGCACTATTTCTACTGGTATCCTTGCTTTTTTTTTTCATTTTCTTGCTGAAATGACATGAATTGTTGAGTTTATTTTTACACAGTAAAAGAGTGAAGAAAGACTGTGGTCTCCTTGGAATGTCTCTTCCTTTCTCAAGCTTGCAAGTGTCACTTCAACCACCTCAGCAGCCCTCCCGGGGGGTGCATGCCTGCCCATTGCCCTGTGACCCTCAGCAGTCTCGCGGCCATCCAGGAACACCGGACATCAGGCGTGGGGAGGGGGCCTGCCCGCTTCCCAGGTGCAGCCGACACCGAGGCAGAGAGAAGTGGAGTGATCCCCCAGTGTGTGGAGGCCACACTGGGACCCGGGTGCAGAGTAACTCCCCGTTTCTCGCCCGCAGCCCTGCTCTGTCCTGACTGAGTGCACTGTCCACAGCACAGCTGGGCACAGGTCCCAGGCAGCCTAGCCCTGTCCTTCCCAAACAGCTCTGCTCTGCTCTCCTTTGCCACATCCCTGCTGACCCATCCTTATCCGACATCTGGTTACCTCCCCTCTTTGGGGTTCCCAGGCTGCTTCCTTGCACTTGAGCAAGAGGTCATCCCCAGATTCACATAACAGGGGGATGATGGGCGATGCGGGAACCCTGGACACCAGGAAGAACTTACTTCTCTGGCCCCTTGTGGACCAGGCTAGACTCTGAATGGACGTGGAGCTCTCTAGCTGCTCCCTTCCAGGGGACAAAATAAATGACCAGGAGCCAAACCAGCCTGCCCGGTAGGTTGGTCTCCCCCCACACCGCGCCCCAGCACACACGCACGCACACACACTGGGTTGGCAGAAGTACCTGGCCAGGACTCAGGATCTGGGGTTTGGTGGGGTCTGAGTGGGCCATCCGTTGCCTGGGGTGGTACAGAGGGAGGAGATTTGGCCTCAGCCAGGCGGCCGCTTGTCCTGTTGCCCCTGTGGGAGGAGCCTCCATGGGGAGAGAGAAGCCCCTGCCAAGTCGAAGGCCCTTGACCTGTTTCCTCCAGAGGTGCCCTTGGCGGGTGGGGTCCATCTGCAGGCTGCATACTCATGGCCGGGCCGGGAGTTGTACCCAATTCCAGCAGCTCCAGCTGACACACCACACACACTCCGCCTCCCACTCAGGCAAGCGCATAGTTCAGCCAGCAGTAACATCACTCTTCCGTTTCTCATCTCTGTGGGAAAGCTCATTCAGAACCTCGGGTATTTTAATAACCATTGGCAGCAGATCCCCTTCCCCACTTCTCACACCGGTGACTGACTTCGGGGGGCTGTGGGGCTCAGGACAGCAGCTCAGAGGGAGGCTGCTGGGCCTCCCTGATGGGCCGGCTTACGTGGACGCCTGGGGCGGAGGGACACAGGCTCGGGATGTCAAAGCTGGAGGGCGACTCCGAAGCCGCGGACTCCAGCAGCCCACCGGATGCACGGACGTGTTCTCAGCTCACACGCTGCGGAGATGGGGCTCACTACCCACAGAGACGGTCTGCCCCACTTTCCAGCTCCGGCTGAGAGTTTCCTCCTGCTCGGCTAAGATGGCCTTCGTATTTCTCCTGCTATGCCCAGTTCCTTACACTGAGCTGTGGCTGCAGTGTAGACAGCCACCACGGCCCCCAGCGCTCAGCTCCGCGCCTCCCCTGCGCCTCCTGGCTGCCCTGCTCTAAGGCTCAACACGCTCCTCCCACCCTGGGAGCCCCCCAGGGGCAGCAGGGGAGGACAGACCAACCCCCGGCGGGCCCGGGGAAGGTGTCACCTGACCCCTGGCCTTGCTCTGTGAAGCTGGGGCGTGTGGATCAGACACAGGCCCCCAGGCGGGAGCAGCACAATTCGAGCAGTACCAGCCTGCTCTGTCCCCTTGTCTGCCCCCAAAAGGCTCCCGCGTGCAGCTGTGTCCCCAGCAGCCCCCTCTCTGCAGACCCCCAAGGAGCGCAAAGCTTCCTGGGCTCTGAGGAGTTAACTGCTCGCTGGAACCGGGAAATAGGAGAGAAGAAAAGTGGGGGGGGGGAGTTACAGAGGTTCTGGAACTCCCTGGAAGGCCTGTGGTTCTGAGCTCAAGGGGCAGACAAGGGTGCTGAGGAAACGAAGACCCACAATGGAGCCTTCAGAAAAACATACAAACAGGAGAGCAGCCAAGATGCCGAGTAGGAGGGCCCCGCGCCTCCTCTCGCCACAACACCGATTATGTGACACCAGCTTGGGATCCCTGGGCCCTGCAACCAGAGTCCAGGACTCAGCTCTGCCCTCTCGTAGGCCAGCCCCAACCCCAGAGTTAACACCTATCCTTCTCAAATTCTTCTAAAACATTTCAAAGGAAGGAATACGTCTGAACTCATTCTATGACACCCGTTGAACTATTCACCGACACCCAAACCAGATAAAGACATCATACACACACAGAAACAAACTACATAATGGAAAGGAATCTGAAAAAGAATGTGTGTGTGTGTGTGTGTGTGTGTAACTGAATCATTTTACTGTACACCTGAAACTAACACAATATTGTAAGTTAACTATATTTCAATAAAAATGGTTAGAAAAAAGGAAACTAGGCCAATATCACTGATGAACATAGATGCAAAAATCCTCAACCAAATATTAGCAAACCGAGTCCAACAATCCATTAATAGGCTCATACACCATGACCAAGTGGGGTTCACCTCAGGGAAGGAAGGATTTTTCAGTATCCTCAAGTCAACCAAGGTGACACGCCACACCGACAAACTGAAGAATAAAACCCATATGATCACCTCAGTCGATGCGGAAAAGGCTTTTGACAAAATTCAACATCCATTTATGATAAAAAAAATACTTTCCAGAAAGTGGACATAGACAGAACACACCTCAACATCACAACGGCCATTTATGACAAACCCACAGCTAGCATCACACTCAGTGGTGAAAAGCTGAAAGCATTTCCTCCAAGATCAGGAGCAAGACAAGGATGCCGCTCTCACCACCTTTATCAATGTGGCATCGGACGTCCCAGCCACAGCAGTCAGAGAAGAAAAAGAGAAGGAGTCCAAATTGGAAAGAAGAAAAACTGCCACTGTTCGCAGGTGACACGGTGCTACACATAGACAACCCCAGAGAGGCCACCAGAAAAGTACTGGAGCTCAGCAACGAACTCAGTCAAGTGCAGGAGACAAAACTTGAAGCAGAAATCTGATGCATTCCTGTACACTAACAATGAACTGTCAGAAAGAGGGATTAAGGAAACAATCCCAATGCGTCAAAAAGAATAAAATGCATAGGAATAAACCTGCCTAAGGAGGCAAAAGACTTGTCCTTGGAAACCTGAAAGAAACTGGCGAAAGAAATGGAAGAGGACACAAGTAGAAAGGTATGTTCTGTTCTTGGGTTGGAAGAGTTAACACTGTTCAAATGACCATACTACCCAAGGCAATCTACAGATTCAGTGCCATCCCCACGAAAATCCCAATAGTGTTTTTCACAGGACTAGAATAATTTCAAAGCTTGTATGGAAACACAAAAGACCCTGAACAGCCGAAATCGTCTTGAGAAAGAAGAACGGAGCTGGAGGAATTGTGCTCCCTGACCACAGACTACACCACAAAGCTACAGTGATCAAAACAGCATGGTCCTGGCACAAACACAGACACACAGAGCAATGGAACAGGACAGAGAGCCCAGAAATAAAGCCACGCACTCATGGTCAGTTAATCCACGACAAAGGAGGCAGGAACACACAATGGAGAAAAGACAGTCTCTTCAGCAAGTGTTGCTGGGAAATCTGGACCGCTGCCTGCAGAACACTGAGATTAGAACATTCTCTAACACCACGTACAAAAACAAACTCAAAATGGATTAAAGACCTAAAGGCAAGACCAGAGACTATAGAACTCCTAGAGGAAAACATACGCAGAACAGTCTTGGACATAAATCACAGCAATATTTTTTTTGGATCCGTCCCCTAAGGCGAAGGAAGTAAAAGCAAAAGTAACAAATGGGACTTAATTAAACTTAAAAGGTTTTGCACAGCTAAGGAAACCATCAACAAAATGAAAAGACAACCTACTGATGGGGGAGAATGTCTGCAAATGATGTGGCTGGTAAGAGGTTAATATCCAACACATACAGACAGCTCATATAACATCAAACACACACACACAAAAGATTAAAAAATGGGCAGAAGACTTAAATACGTTTTTCCAAAGAGGATATGCAGATGGCCAATAGTGCATGAAAAGATGCTAACATCACTGATCGTCAGGGAAATGCAAATCAAACCACAGTGAGATACCACCCCACACCTGTCAGAACGGCTATCATCAAAAAGAACACAAATAACGAATGCTGGCAAGGATGTGGAGAGACGGGAACACTTCGTACACTGTCGGGGGCATGTAATTTGGGGCCACTACTGTGGAGAACAGTATGGAGGTTTCCCAGAAAAACTAAAAATAGAACTACCATATGACCCAGCAATTCCACTCCTGGGTATGTATCCAAGAAAAACCCAAAAACACTAACTGGAAAAGATACATGCACCCTAATATTCACTGTTATCTATCTAAATGCCCATCAACAGATGGTTGGATAAACAAGATGTGATATGCGCACACACACACACACACACACACTGGAATACTACTCAGCCACAAAAAGGAATGAAATGTTGCCATTTGCAAACACATGGATGGACCTGGAGGGCATTATGCTAAGTGAAATAAGTCAGACAGAATAAGACAAATACTGTATGATATCACTTACATGTGGAATCTAAAAAATACAACGAATTAGTGAATATAACAAAACAGAATCAGACTCAAAGATACACAGAACAAACTGGTGGGAAGAGGTGGGAGGGGCAAGACGACAGGGGCAGGGGGTTGAGAGCCGCAAACTACCAAGCACAGAATGAGCGGCGAGGGCGCGCCGTCCAGAGCAGGGAGCGCAGCTGGCTCGGCAGGACAGCTGGGGCGGAGCAGGACCCCTGACAGCTGCACATCACTGCGCTGTGCACTTACTTGTATAATATTGTGCATCAGCTCTCCTTCAGTTTGTGAAAAGGGGGAAGAAAGAAAAACATACGTTCATTCACTCGTTCATCGAGGACCTGTTCTCCGACCGGCTACCTCG